CCCTTCATTCGACCTTTATTTCGACATTTTGCATGAAGGTGCACAGGTATGTCATAAAGGTTTAACACTTAGGGTATGAGAGTTAATTAATTAAGCGTTCACGAGTATGTGGCATATCATTGTATAGAATGCACGAAACCTAGTAATAATTTAACCAGCACATACTTAATAAAAATACTCCAACCATATTGCTTATCCAGGTTAAGTACTTAGGATATGAGAGTTAATTAATAAAGCCACCATTCCTAAGCCAACGTGGTGCTCTCCACTCCTACTTATTTTTTCTCTCCTTGACCGTTCGAAATCTCAAGATGTTCTCGCAAAAAATATTTATTTTAATGTTAGCAACGGTCGCAAAGTCAGAAAAAAATGATGTACCAATTTCCAAAGCCCATATATCTCTATTTTTGAAAAATCTGACCAACTGCGATTTACAAATTGTACACGACGGGATAGATTTAGCTGATCACCAAATTCCCGTCAAATTGACTCATGTCTCTCTCAATCTTAAATTAAATGAGTCCACTTACCCTGCTCTGAATACACTTATGTCACGTACCGTTCTACCACAACTCATCTTTCTGCTATCCAAATATCTAATTAATTCAAACTCTGATCATAAATTTCCAAAATCAAGTCCAAATTTGGAACAATGGATTGATATCGCAGTTAGCAAACATAAATATCATTTGTACAGAAAGGAAAACATCGACGCTTCAGGGAGAACGTTTGAAAAGAAGTTTTTTCATTACGGCAATGACGCGTTTGTGATATTAATCAGCACGAGGGGAAAACGAGAGTTGAAGTCTTTCGTAGTAGAGAAGCCAGAACTGCACAATACTTATATTCTTGCTCAATCATACCTTGCCGATGACAACTATACTAATGGACTTTGTGCTGTCCCTCAAACCAGCCGGAACTCTTCTCGCTGCTCCCAAATTACCCACTGGAATGACCGCATTGCTACGATCGCCTCTTGGCCATCTGTATGGTGTGTCAAAATACCGGCTTCACTTTATGACCTAGTCAAAAATACTGCCCAACTTAATATGGATAACGTGAATCTGTTTGATCGTAAAGAAAATTATACGATTGCTGACTGGGCTCGTGCAGCTCTATCAAAAGTACATGATCTGACCACTTTGCATCAAAATTGCTTTAGTGAGACCATTCCCCTGCTAGAATTCAATTACAAGCTTGGTAGTGAAAATTATCAGAACCTAGAACATGGAATGCCAGTTATCACGAGATGTACAGGTTTCCAATTCTTTACCTGCTATAGGGAGCAATATATCAGTTTCAAAATTTGTATTGCCCCATTCCAACCAAACCTTTGGTTAGGATTGATCACCACCTTGGTAGCTGTGGTTGCCTCGGCCTCAATCTACAAACCTTTTGGTGGTTATGCAAAAGTATCATTTTCAGCCTGGCTTTTCATATTGGCAACAATATTCGAAGAGACGGGTCATATGCCTAGTAAAATTCAGCGAGCAACATATCTCCGCCTAATCCTATGCTCATGGTGCGTAATGTCCATCTTCTTAACTAATTGCTACAACGGTTTAATGATTTCTGAACTTAACGCACCACTTCCATCTTTTGAACCAAAGACGTTTCAAGAACTGGTATGTCACAAGTTAACGCTAGAGTCGACTGACCGCTTCTTTTATGCGTCGGACTTACCGCATGTCAGCGATTCTAAGACGGCCAACGACCGAAAACTTATCAATGATCTGACAGGATGGTATGGTACGGCTTTAATTAGTCCCTTTGTTATAAAAACTGGGAAGAATCCGTACAGACGGGACGATTGTTTTTCGCTGCTATCGATGCGTTCGAAAGAGAGGACAATGTCTGGTAATCCAGAATTCCTCGACTATGTTTTAACTCGGTTTGAGGACATGTTATCTGGGTGGTCCGAAAGCTCTTTTGTTAGCAAGTACTACAACCTCCTTTTAAGCTTGTACCTACCAATACATTCTCATCATCCGAAGAATATGACCTATTCTAAGTTCAACACTAACCTGGCAGAGCTGAAGAAAAAAATCGAGACTGAGATGATTAAATGTGAAAAAACCGTATACATCGCGCACTCCGACGTCGTCGATGCAGCGTACGTTTTCCTTTCCAAGAACTACCCCTGGAGAAAGTTTTATAAGGGGGTGGGGCATATTTTGGACGCGTCGTCGTACGGGGTGGCCTTTAGAAACGCAGTGTCTCAAAGATTCCAATGCATTTTAAATCTTTCATAGAGAGTGTTCATCGCAGGATGGAGCAGGAGTTGATCAGGCGGATTAATGCACGCCGTGATCCGGTAGGAGCCAGAGATTTAGGAAAAGATAGGAAACTTGAGATAGATTCGCTGGCATTAGAGGGCACATTTTCAACGTTTTTTATAATATGGGGTATTGCCGCTACCGATTGTTGCGTTCGAAGTCCATCATAGTGTAAAGGCTTGCGTGAATTTAATAATATCCACGGCATGTTTTAAGTTTTTATTGATTCGTAATAGATGTAGAAAGTGCAAAAGCCATAAGTGCTGTTTACACGAGAGTTTCTTGCGTAGAATGAAAATTCCACGACAAGTGGCACGGAATGAAAGTAGCGTAAAATGAGGTAATTTCACGAGTCAGTTTACAGGTAAAATTTCGACAATGTCGCCAATTGTGGGTTTATCAAAGTGCATGATTCTGATTTTGAAGACGATAATACATAATTCACAATTCTGTCACTTTTCCTAGTTTTCTCTAATATTTATAAGTTACTTTTTATACACATTTAATATGACATATAAATAAGCAGTCAACTCTGTCAAATAGGGCAGCAGTAATCCCTTATTATGATATCATGAGGACAAGGAGCTCAAATTTATCTGTATCGAAACTATCGTAATAAATGCACTTAATTGAGTTTACCAACATCAAATAAATAACTAATAGGTTGCGTACATTTGTCCATCCGTCAGGAATCAAACCCAAATATCTATCTTTGATTATCAATGCACACCGTCTGCTTATGCTTACTTTATATATCAAAAGTTTTTAAAAGTGATCCACTAATTTCTTAAACAAACAGATTTAATATTTTAATAAATCTGAAATATGTAGGTTATCAATGAATTTGATACAATTGGAAATAAAATAACGTGGCAATTTAAATTTAAACATTTATTATCAAATATTTAATTCAAATTTACACCTGGAAAATATTTATACACTCAAGGTAATTGAATGTACCAAATTTTATCATGAATAATCGTATTGCTTATCGGCTTATCGCGAGTCGACCCTCCAAAAAAATAGATCCTCTTATTTCCTTCGACCCAAACGGGACTTGTATCTGCAAAATACGTCGCATTTTCCCTACTCACGGGAAAATTCTCTACCAAGTGTATTTCGCTTTGCATCGAGGCAGAGTCGAATTTAAGAATAGAATCCGGCCTCGGACCAGTCGTCCAATTGCCGTAGCCTCCAACTATCCACGCGTTCCTTCCGTCCCATATGGCGTGTGCGGCTCCTCGTTGCGGGCATACTGCCCTTGAAGGCCGCCATGATGGTAAATGTTTCCCTGGGTGTCGATCGAGACCGTTCCGTCGGCCCGGTTCAGCGGGATTTCCGCCACTAGGTTCAGCTCGTCTGAGGAAATGGAATATTTTGAGATGTCATAACCGCCATAAGGTGTCCCGCCTATGATGTAGATGGCGTCGTCGCCATCGTATATTGCCGCCGTGCCGTATCTCCCAGACGCAAAGCGGTCCTGACATTGGGTAGCGATTAGTTGAGGGGATGCGTATGGGAGTAGGATCAAGACAAGAAGTGGTAGATTAGAAAAATACAGGTTTCTGTATTTGGTTATAAGTTTATGGGAGGTTAATTGAAGAGAATTATTTGATGAGGAGTGTGTCACGCTGTGGTGTAGAGTGGCGTGAATTTAAGGACTTATATTCATGTCGGCTGCGATAGAAGTTGGCTGTGAAAGTAATCTTATCTGGGAAAAGGTATGTGGACAGGACGAGTTGGATGTTTGACTAATGAGGATTTCCAGGTGTTTGATAAGTAGACAATCAAATGGAAATTGGTGACATGATAAGTTGATTGGGACACTTTTAATTTAAAGTTACATAATAGGTATATTTATAAAATTAGAGTGATAAATGTCCAATTAAACACGAAATGTCAATTTACTTTTATCCGGACTGCGATTAAATTGTTCGACATATTTTTGCACTATATATTTATTAATTTTTATTTTTGTATACTGCAATTATTCTCGTCACCCTCTCTGCGAGTGACAGCCAGACCTTGGCATTTATGAAACTTATGACACTTATGACTTGTGTGCTAAAGGTAAGGACTTTCTTATCCTTGTAGCAATATAAAGCACCAGAATTGAGAATTTAGATTTTAAAAAAGAGCGTATTACTTCTAAAACTGGCAAATATTAGATAACTAGGCGATAACACCATCTTATAAACTGTCATCAGACAACTTTATGCCCCACATTTGTATTTGTAAAGATCTTGTAATTTAGAAAATCCATTCCGTAACCTTCCACAGTGAACATTGGTGGTATGGGCATTTTTACCATTTTGGGGATTAATTACTACTACCCCGCTTTTTTCCCTAGTTTCCACTTCCCAAATTTTTACCCCAATTACCGATTCCCATTTCCCACTTCCCAAATTTCTTTTCCGCTTACCAATGTCTATATTACTCCGAGCTATACATTGTATACAAATATTTTTGCATTCTACTTGCATTCTTGGGCAGCCATTTCTACCCAGCTTCACATCGAATTAAACAAAACAATTTTCAAATCGGTGGTGGGCACCCGCTAGGGTTCCCCATCGTGCAAATTATTCGACTTCACGTTAGTTGCAACAAAGTCACGAGAAACTTTCAAGTCAAGTTTGGCAGCTATGTGTACTATGGGAGTGTGACGTGCGATATGGCTTTAGATAAGTATGACACAGTTATTGATCATATTGGAAGATTTGCTTTACAAGAGTTTAATAATAATCATTAGCAACTTGCACGTAACAGGTTTTAATGTAGACCAGTAATTATCAATAAGTTGATATTGGTGTATTTTTAGTTGAAGTCAAACTGACACACCACGTCGCGCTGAGTGCTGATACAAAAATCAGTGTAGACTACGTCATCGGATAATTTGACGAACAAGCAAAGCCAATTCCTTGGGTGGTTCATCAAGTTGAAGGAAGCTATTTCGCTCCCGTCCTCCCATTCGAACGACTCCCGACAGCTAACCTGGTCCCCGGTGACGAGCCCTTTCACAGATCCCCCTACCCACGGGTCTGCAAGATAGGTTGGAGTATTAAAGATTAATGCATAGCAAAGGATTTTGAACGTGTAATTTTTAACAAATTAATTCAAATTTACCAGAATCTCCTCGTGAAGGCTCCACAACGTTCCATAACGTATCCCGTAAAAATCTATACTCCTCCTCGGACTTGAAAGTTGCGAACTTGAGGCCCGCCCTCCCGCAGGTGGCATTCCCATCCATCCAGTTGACTTTTGTGGCCTGATTGTATGTACAACTGCATGTCATCTCTCATTATCTAATCAATATGTACAAGTATAGCTCACGTTTAGGCCGGTTATGAAAAATAGTTTGGTTCCAATTTGCCCCACTAGATCCATCCCTGACTGTTGCGCGGTCAGAATCACTTTATGTGAAATGTCTAAGATTAAAAATAATATTAGTGGAATTAAAATTAGCAAGTTGGATAATATTTAACTATTTGAATGGGTACCCATTTCGGCTGAGATGGTAATGCTTAAAAAAGCGAGGACCGTAATGATGATCGAGTAATTGGCAGCCATCGTATAAAATAATGGTAAGCGGGGATCTATTAGGACAACGAAGATTGTGAGCTGACCACTTAATGAAGTGATATGGATCACACGTTTGCATTTTATAGCAACCCCTTCCCCTCGTGATGGAGAGATTGATCTGTCCCATTGAGTTATCTAGTTGTTGTGCGAGGATGATTGATTTTTATCCATTCTTTTCAATCGACTAGGGATGACGTCGGTCTGATATTATGTTCAACATGCTCTACGGGCGTCAGTATCAGTTGCGTCAAAGTCTGAATTTTTTGATTGCTGACGTTTGTTAATTATGTAGATCCAAAACGTGAATCTAAGTCACTCTGCGGTGACAAAATTTGCACACAAATGCCAGTTTACTGATAATTTCTGCATTAGGATCTTCACAACTTGTACGTATCCCAGTTGGTTACTGGGTTAGGTTATTATAAAGGTATGTAGATCATTGTGACGTCCGCGCAGTTTTGGAAATAGATTTTATTTATTAAATAATTTTATTCGATAAGAGATTTGAATGGAATGGATGGATAATTGAAACAAATGAAGACGCGGAACTAGACATCCCAAAAATATTTCTCTTATTGCAAAAACAATGCATCGGAAATCCGGTTCGTAATAGAACAATTCCGCTTCCTGTTGTTTTGTCAGATCCTAACGCCACGTTTATAGTATGAAATTAAGTTTCAATTTAGTTATCCTCAATATAACGTATTTCTATGTATCCTGCTGGAGGATAGCGAATAATAAAAATAACACTATTATTAATAAAAATTTTGTAAATATTGATAAACTTCTTTATGTAATTCAGCAATAATTGATCATATGCCAGACACATCTATAACTTGTACATAAATCGTGCAAAGAGTACAATTTTTGAACAAGTATACATTTTAGTTTAACCAGTAATAATTCAAATACTTAATTATGCATAATTTACTACATCACTGCAAAATCAGACATACAATATGCACCATCATTTTCAAAGGCATGATAAATATGTGAATGATACATAATAAAATGATAAATATTTTTTTATTACTGTGCAGAATGATAATTTATTATAAGTCGCCTTCAAATCCTCCTCACTGTGCACATTTTCGGTTCTACAAAGAGTTATCAATTTCAAAATGACTTAATAAACCAAACACAAATTTAGATCAATTATACCGAAACTGATATTATTTTCTATCATTCTGGGATCAAATTTTGAGTCTACTTTTACCGTCGAGCAAGGCATTTTCTCCTGCATAGTTCACAGTAAAAATATCTGCCTAAATTATGTAGTAAGTCGTTCATTCGTCGTTTCATATTTAATTTTACACTGGTGGTATTCACGTCACTATAGTAACTGGGATAATATAAATTTTCGAAATTTTAGCCTGGTTTTTTGAAAATATAGGACGTGTAAACCCCCAGAAATTAATTTACTATTTATTTTTCTTTGCCTAATTCGAGTCCCACGTCGACATCAATGTGATCACGTTACGATGGACGTTAATCCGATTTAATTTTAGCAATACACAATATTAAGATTATGTTTAATGACTTTGAAATTAGAGGGTACACTGATTTTTTATTAACCGAAATATTTGACAAATTATGCATGATAAAAAGAGATTTATTACTAAAACCTAAGAGCAATTTAGTCACCTCACATTTAAAAAGTAATAATCCCGAGATACTTGATGAATATATGTATGTAGATTGTGAAACTAATATCAATAACGACCAGACTACTTTTATTGCCTTTCCTTACTATAAAATGCTCGCTGAGCGGAGTAGTTTTCCAGGAGTGTAATTTGGTGTCTAATTGCATATTGGTTTAGTTATCTTTTGAAAAATTTTCACCCAGCGGTGCCATATGGGGTGACCCCGATTGATTTTTAAGTATTGCCCTAGAAGCTTGAAATTTATATAATCGGACAAATTCCTTGGTTCGGTCTAAGCAAAGCTGTACTTGGAGGTTTTTAAAATCATATGACCCCCACCGGTCAACCACTAGACAGATTTGGCTCATCTTCGAAAACTTGACCCGTACTTTCATATCATAAACATATGGTGAAAATGTCAACCCGATCGGATAAGTTTAAAGAGTTATAATTAGACAGAGGGACGGGCAGACAGACATGACGGTTACATAAGCCCTGACATGAGCTAAAAAGTATTGTGATATATGAGACGCATTTACGATAATCAATGATAACAAGGTGCATATTATATATATATATTGTAACGCCCCCTGTCCTTATCTGGGGTTGCGTGTCCCGATTCACACCCACTTTCGTGGATGTCCCTTAAGTTTGTGACTTTTATGCAATAAACTTTGTAGAACTTGTTCACTTTTAAGGAAAATTATAAATATTTTTATTTACATCAATACCGACTGAATAAATATTGATTTTCCAAATAGCTTATATTATTAAATATGTGGGAGAGCTTATGCTAATATTTAAATTTCCTAAATTTATTTAACTGGGAACTTATTCTATTTAGTAAGAAAACTCATACCTAGAGATAACCTTGATGGTTGCTAACTAAACCTTCCTCTTCTGTCTCTCAAACCAGACTCTCTCTAACCTTGATGGTTGACTTGTGTTTTAACATCCTCATGTGGCTATTCATCCTATACTGTAGCATTGGATTTACCACCCTATGCTGTAGCACTGGATTTACCACCCTATGCTGTAGCACTGGATTTACCACCCTATGCTGTAGCACTGGATTTACCACCCTATGCTGTAGCACTGGATTTACCACCCTATGCTGTAGCACTGGATTTACCACCCTATGCTGTGACATTGGATTTACCACCCTAATTAATTGTTAATTATTCCTAACCCTATAAATTCTTATTATTAAAACTAATTGATTTATATGCCTAGATAACCTCTAAATATATATCAATTAATTTCATAATTGAATATGATTCTATCTTAGATATATTTGATCACATAACCTAACCTTTGTAATTCTGATGTTGCATTGACATCAGGGTTACAAAGGTTGCAATATATATTTGACAACGACAGGATGGTTGATATTAGGTAAGCCTTATAAATATTTAATTATGCAATTAGTTACGTTCAGTTTGTATGTAATAGGTTTGTGGTTTTTAATAATCACATATTGACGGAATGTTAATCCCGCACTATGTGATAAGATATCCCGCACTTATCACATCCTTGGATATTACTTACCTCCGACATAAAACATTCTGAGTATAATTGAGCAGATTTGTACGTGAATATCGTCCTGCATATACGACCAACTCCCTTCAGTGCCTGCTTAAGAAGGTTAATTAGTGATCTTGTCTGATATATTTTTCTAATGTCGCCATGATCATGACGACATTTAAGGTAAACGTTCAAACTCAAAATTTAAGTACATACCCTCCGTGGTGCCACTAATTTGAATACAACTGGACGCACACATTTGTGCCACAAAGGTTTGGCTATGGCTGGAGGGGCACACTCAGATTCTTTGTCATGGTACTGAGCACGAATGAGAATCTAATTCTACCCCCCCCCCCGCCATAGTCATAGGTTTGCGCGTGCCAATTTGACGATTGACGATTTTCGTATATCACTCTGTAAAATATTCTACCACCGGCCAGTGACCCCATCGGAACGGTGATAGGGTAGGCCAGCGTAGGGTCGTTTATTACCAGACAAACGTGTTTAAAACCGTTTTTTTCTACTGGACTATATGCTTTTAATCATCCCAAATCGTTCTGGACGTCCAAAAAGAAACGCTGTTCGCAATGAATAATGTCGCATAACTAATTGGTATTTGAATTTCAGATTTTAAGAGTTAGTCATCCCATCATTATTTTCTTGCTTATAATTATCTACTACTAAATACTTGTCACCCTTACGACACGGGCTTGGGTTTGCTAGTTGTGATAAAAAGTAATGGCACCCTTGTCAACAACTACTTCGTCGCACTTCAGTCCAAACTAGTCCACATTCAACATGTTTCGTAAACTCGCTTGGAAATCTTTCTCGGGTGGTAATTTTTCCCCAAAAGCATTCCGTGGAGGATTCAACGGGGACGATAACCTTCTCGTCATTCGAGCCAATGTGGACGGAGGTTTAATCCCTGGAAAGTTTCACGTGTCGCGTCGTGTCGTGTCGTGGGTAAAAAAAATTAAAAAAGACCAAGTAATCTATTTAAATTAACCTGGCATGAATTTACAGCTTCAAAATACACCCAACATTTTTAGAAGACGTGCACCACTCCATTTATCGACTGGTTTGACACATTTGATCTCATTTTATCACGGGTTACCTTGCTGGTTGGGATTTGCACACGTCCGTTTGCCTAAATTTAAACCACCGTGTGCAAAACAAACAATACCAAATGCAGAGAAGTGCTGTCATACTTATATTAATTAACAGTCGCATAGCTCATGGTTGGAATGCAGAATCGATATCGTTGTCGATATTTGTATTTTACTTACTGTAGCATTGATCTCCTCTTATCAATTGTTGACAAACTTGACTGATGGGCTTTGCACACGTTCACTTTAACCACGGTGCACATCTTTCTATTCTTAACCAGCATTGACATTGACATTGATTGACCACGAACCAAGTCACGTAAACTGTTTGCGCAATCAGTATCACGTATTGTGGACATGAATAAAGAACTCGGTATAAAAGTCACCACTCAAACCGTGCAAAAATTACTTGGTTTCTGCGACTTGAACACAATGTACCAAATTTTATCCTTTATTCTAGCCTTCGCCGTCGGGGTGGTAGTTCCTCACGGTGGAATGATCGACCCGCCGGGGAGGAACTACATGTACCACGCAGGCTTCGAAGGAACCCCACCAAACTGGAATTGGCAGGCTGTCTGGTGTAACGACGTTCCTCAAGCAATCGACGTCCCGGAATCTACTTGTGGTATTTAAATATGTGAACATCTTAAATTTGGGTGTAGCTTAAGCTTTTGCTTGACACTTGTACCCGGCTAGCACTCCCTAATTTAAATATTAGGCAGTTTGTGTAAATACGTTTTTAGGATTTCCGTCACGCTCCGTGTCACTTGAGACTGGTCAAAATTTTCATAGTGTATATGGAATATTTGAAGACTAAGCCCCCCACAATTTACAAATTTGTTCCTGAAATTTTGACACTCTCAAGATATAAGGAGCGTCACGGAAATCCTAAACACGTAGCTGAACAAACTCCTTATTGCTTAGGCATGTGTGGCGACGTTCCTAGCGATCCTGCCCCCAGAGAGAATGAGAATGGAGGCTATTATGGGAAAGCAACCGTAGGCAAGAACTATACCGCTGGCTCTGTAAGAGTGACCTACTGTGATGGAATGATTAAGAAAAATTCATATTTTTTTCTGTGATAGATTATCGATGTTCGAACCGAATTCGGCGCTGCTCACTACGGATACATGGAGTTTCACTTGTGCCAAACGAGCATCGAGTCGCCAGGTTGTTTCCAGAAACTTGCAATTGTTGGAGGAAGTGAAGACATCATTCCTGAAGAAAGAATGTGCGTCCCATACCCAAACAGCGAAACTAGAATACTCACCGCCAGACTTCAACTTCCAGCTGGGGTGCGATGTAACCGATGCACGTTAAGATGGACGTATCGAACAGCTTACCCGGGATGGGGATGTATGGTCAATCAGGGACAAAACCACCCTGGACAGGACACTGTCCAAAAGTGGTTTTGGACACCAATCCTGAAGTGTCCAAAAGTGAAAAGTGGGGTAAACCGATACAATTCATATTACCCCATCGGACACTTACGGACACTTTTGGGAAAACCCTGTCGTCAATGAAAAAATACCATGTTCGAGCCGAATTTGAAGTACTAAATATTATTTGTGCATTAACAGGTTGGCATGAGTGTGCCGTTAATCCCAACCCAGCGCAAGTGTTCAGGAATTGTGCTGACATTAGCATGCAGTGAAAATAGTGGTTAATTGGTTAAACTCTTAATGGTTACAAGGCGAGATGAAATAATATGTAAATGTATATATATGAAGTAAAATTAGTATGTTATTTACGTCAATGTGAAATATGGTTGTGCCAAATCTTACAAACCGCAATTGTTAAAACAAAATTTTCAAAATTAAATCAAATCAAAATCAAATATATGTATTTATTAAGGGGTGAATCCCCTTTATCAGATAGTCTTCTTTGTCTGCCTGTCCATACGTTTCGAAAAGCTGGGCCTTGACACTTGATACATATTTATATTATAATTTCGAAAAGCCCGTCCCGTGAAATTTTCCGTGACATTCCTGCATTTTGATTGGCTGTTGGCATTCTAGCTAAACCAATCAGAGAACGAATTCGATTTTTGATTATGCTTCTGGTTCTCATTCTGATTATTATGCGGATGATGAATAGACGGTGCCATAGCCACCGCACAAAATTTATTCAGCAACCTTAAAAAAATTCCTTTAGCAAGGTAAAAAAAATCCCTAGCAACGTAAAAAAAAATCCCTAGCAACGTCAAAAAAATTCCCTAGCAACCTTAAAAAAATTCCTTAGTAAAGTCAAAAAAATTCCCTAGCAACCTTAAAAAAATTCCTTAGCAAAGCTAAAAAAATTCCCTAGCAACGTTAAAAAAATTCCTTAGCAACGTAAACAAAATTCCTTAGCAACGTAAAAAAATCCCTAGCAACGTCAAAACAATTCCCTAGCAATCTTAAAATAATTCTTTACCAACGTCAAAAAAAATTCCCTAGCGACGTTTAAAAAATTCCTTAGCAACGCCAAAAAAACTCCCTAGCAACCTTAAAAAATTCCTTAGCAACGTCAAAAAAAATTCCCTAGCAACGTTTAAAAATTTCCTTAGCAACTTCAAAAAAAATCCCTAGCAACCTTTAAAAAATTCCTTAGCAACGTCAAAAAAATCCCTAGCAACCTTAATTTATACGATTTTTATTTTATGTATTGATCAGAGTATAAGTTATATTCGCAGAGTATGTATATTGTTACAATTCGTATTATAACAAAAAAGCCTGAAGGACCAGCGTTGTACACAAAATATCCCTAAATGAAAATCGCAGAAATCGCAGAATTAAACGCAGAAAAATCGTGACAAAAAGAAACGCAGCAAAAAAAAGAAGACAAAATTCCAGAAAAAACACCGTTACAAATAGTACACCTCCTCCAACTCTTTTCTTGGAGGAAGTGTACCCAAAATCGACGCCGTTTCCCTCGTTGCGCGGCGAGGGAAACTCGCTGGCGGAGAAAATTGACCGAATTGAGCTGTCCAGTCGTGGAGGCAATCCTTTGCCCGATTTGTTCAATGAGGGCGAGCCCTTCCTGCCCCCAAACTCCAGTCGTTTCCATGGCAACCGGGACAAAAATGTACCGGTCCATCAGAAATTTCTTCTTCTTCTTGGCGTCCTCCGCCTTGCTGGCAGCAGCACCCTGATGGCGCAGTGTCGGGAAGGTGACTTGGGGCGAAGGTGTCGGCGCACGTAAAATCCCACACGAGGGACCTCCCCCTCGCCCAAGGCACAAGCGTCATCCCATCCGGACGCTTGCCGTCCGTGGTGGAGCACCCTGCTGGCTCCTTAATGCAGGGTATCTCCGCTGATGGGAGGACTCTTGCAATAACGTCGTTGGCGGCCTCGTGGCGGGACCAACGACCTGCACTCCGGCGGCAAGAGAGGCCGTGTAAGCCGCGGGAGGAAACTTGAGCTCCGCACGGGCATTTGTGCGGCTGGCAAATGTCGCAGCCGAGGCGGAGAGCGACGGAGACCCGAAAGGCCTCGTTGGAAAGGAGGGTACCGAGTTGCGGAGATGGGAGGGTGTTGAGCCACACCCCCGCGTACTTATTGCGCAGGGATCGCAGTCGGGCAATATCCTCCGGGATAACTGCCAAAACGGAAAGTTGGGACAAAGTCTTGTCCAAAATGGGACGCTCCCACGCGGCTTGGACTCCTCTGACGGTTTCAGGTGGGAGGTCCGCCATGCCGAGATCCGTCCAACGCTATACCCCCTCTGCCATGGCGATGTCGTTGCCATGGAGATGGCCGGGATGGAGGCGTTCTACGTGGGGCAGGACGCTGTGGGCGGACGCAAGAAAGCACGGTATCGCCACATCCACACCGTGCCTGACCCCGAGGCCGCCTTCCTTCACGGGTAGGGAGGACTGCATCCATGCAGCCTCCGAAAGAGTACAGTTGAGGATCCCCTTGAGCGCGTCCTTAAGGGTAGCGTCGTAGTGGACCAGGGCATCCATCTTTCTCCACGATGGGGCGCAGTGGAGAAAGTAGATGAGTCGAGGGATGGAAATGGACGCGCGGAGTAGGAAAAAGGCCGAGTGGGCCGAGAGACGGAGGAGTCGTTGGGAGAAAGTTGCAAGTTGTTGGGTTTTGGTTGCCAGGACAACCTTCAGCGCTTCATTTGTGAGCGGTGAGCCTAGCAACATCGCAGAATCGGGGGACATTAGCTGGATTCCGGGGGCAACTTGCTGGAATTTGAGGAGGATGTCGATAGCTTCCTCCCGCTCCGCCCCCAGGATCCCCACTTCACATTTCTCAGTGTTGAGGTGGAGGCCAACTTCGCCGCTCATCCTAGCAACCGTTGCTAGAGCCTCTAAAACCTTGTCCGGTGAGTCCCCCATGGCCCCATCGTCGAGGTACCACAAATTAAGCTCCGTTTCCACCGCCTCGACGATGGGGTGGACCACGAGGGAGAAGAGGGCGGGGCCAAAAGGGTCCCCTTGTTGGCAGCCGAGTAGAGAGGGGATGGGGATCATCCCGTAGAAAAGCGACGAGGGACTGGCGTAGCTCTGCGACACGAAAGGGAAAATTGACGGGAATAGGTCGCGGACCAAGTTTAGAAGCGTGTCCCGCCTAATTTCATTGAAAGCGTTCCTGAAGTCGATCTTCAGGAACGCTTTTGGAGAGGTATGGGGGTGGTTGTAATAGACGCGGGCTGCGTGAGCCCCGATCTCCGCACCTCCTTTGATGCCCACTCCGAGTTGGTGGGGAGAAAATGTTGAATTAATTGTGGGGTAATTCTCCCCACAACGATCTTCGCGGCCAGTCGCCGCCAAGTATTTCCCACGGCGATGGGTCGAATCCCTCCCGACTTCTTCTTCAACGCGGTGAGGGACGCTCCGAAGAAGAAGGGGCAAAAAGTTGACGGGACTCCACCGCTGAGGAGCTTATTGAGAAAGGCGCGCATCGCCTCTGCGAGGTGATCGCCCTCCTCCCCCTGGGCACACCCCAAAAGGTCATTCAGGATCTGGGGTCTCATCCCGTCTAGACCCCCCGCCGAACCCGGCGGAAACGAAGAGATAGCCTTGAGCAATTCTTCGTCCAGCACTGGGGCAATGACGTGATCCTCAAGTGCTGGTGGGAAATTAGTTGGTTGGGGGTGGGCCGGGTGCTTGGCGAGCAGCGCGGCGAGGGTTTCGTCGTCGGACGGCGCGATGGTGTCGTCGGAGCAGGCGAGGCGTATCGCTCCTTTGATGTCGCCATCGGCAAGTTTCGCCTCCACTTTCTTTGCCGTCATGTCGAGTGGAGGTTTGTTGGAAGGTGGGCGCGGTGGGAGGGCACGAGGGATTGAGAAGCCGGCTTCCCACCCTGCTGTGTTATTTTTAACCCAAGTGGTCAGGTTCTTGACGCGGTCCGACTTCTGGGGGACGGGGAGTGTTGCATAGGGGAAAAGGAGCAGCTTTCCCCAGCTTTCTTCGTCGTTGGACTCCGTTGTTTGTTGCAGAATTTTGGTGAGGCACTGCGCCACCGGCCTTCTCGCACCTCGCGGGACTCTTCGCAGGGTGGGTGTGGTGGTCTTGAGTCGCGCGAGGATTTCACCCCAATCGTGTTGTTGTTGTTGATGGGGCAAAGTTGGAGGTGCATCCGCCCACTGGATGCCCTCATAGCAGTAGTGGGACTCTCCTCTGGCTCCAACGCGACGGGTCGTGGAGTCGGGGAACAATTGTTTAATATATTTGCCGAGGGTGGCCTCGGTGACTCCACCCTCCCCGCTCTGAGAGACATAAATTGAGTAGCGGGTGAAAACGTCCGTCTTTTTCAGCCGAACTTGAGGTTGGGTGTTGGGGTCGACACCCACGAAGGACGTGCGGACCCATTCCCGGGCGGCCGCGTAGGTGTCATTTTTGGTAACACCGGGAGAAGTGGGCGCGACAGACGATCGGCATGGCCGGGGGACACTGAGCGACGAGTCTGAAGTGGAAGGGGATCGACGTCGGCGATCGGGGCTGGTGTCGCCACTTCACTCGAAGGAGGCTCGTCTCCGCCTATTCCAATGACAGAGCGAGCGAAATCAGGAATCGATTTTCGCGGTCGACCGCGTGGACGTGGCGCAGGTGAGGAGTCGTCCCGCGGCGGCTGCGAAGAAGGAGGTTTTGTTTTGTCGTGGACATGGCTGTGAGGGGCCTTGAGCGCGAAGAGGGACCAAGTAGTCCCACCCAAGGAAACAAAGACAATGAGTAGGATCCCGAAAATTCCAATCCGATCGCATAAAAAGTGAAAAGATTTGAAATATTTATTAATATCTCGCCTGATTTAGGCATTGAAAATGCCTGAGAGAGGCCAGCCCCGTCAGAAAATGGTCGCTCAGACTCCGCGCCACTTCTGGGGGCGCAGGGACCTCCCCCCGACACGATTTGAATCGTGGGTGGTCCTTCCTGAGTCGGCCAAAGTCGAAAAACCACCAAAAATGGAAGAAAAAGATCCTTAGCAACCGGTTGCTAAGGGGGTCGGGGCGATGTGATCCACCTTGGGAAGAACGGGCACACAAAAAATTCGCCAAAATATCCCGGGTGTGGTTCCCGACGGCGACTGACACTTCACTACCCACTAGGGGTCTAAAGGGACTAGCTTGGTGAAAATTTAAGAAGGGGGTGACCCTGGTCGTCAGATTTTTAAAAACTTAAAAATATTGAAAATGGAGGAGAAGCAGCTGACGTGTGCTCTCCTCGAGCGCCCTCTCTCTTTGCAACCTTAAAAAATGCCATGGCAACGTAAAAAAAATCCCTAACAACCTCAAAAAAATTCCTTAGCAACGACAAAAAAATTCCCTAGCAACGTTTAAAAAATTCCTTAGCAACGTCAAAAAAAATCCCTAGCAACCTTAA